GGCTTCGATTATCGTTCGATTTCTCCTTTCAGTAGCCTCGTTTTGTTGTGGATTTCTCACAACAGAAAAATTGTGTGAGATTCCCTTGTTCTCAAGAAAGTTATCAATGGTACTGTTGAAACAACCCGCTATGCTACTAACGATATTAGTTCACATGAATTACTCATACATCATCATAATAGTCATAATATATTCCAAAAGTAGAGTTTACATGACAATAGAAAGTATGATTTAACAAAACTTTTAGTTACAACACTTTTATCTCAATAACACTTCTTTACATTTTTCCTTTGCCTTTATCATGAGATGATGGATGACCTACAAAACAGATTAGTCCAATAATTGAGCATTAGACTAAAAGGTCTAGTGAGTATAATTTTCCTTCTACAGAACATAACTTATTTCAAAATCCAAGACATATCAAACCTGGATCATAATATATCATCCCAACATACATCTATCACAGTTACACCGCCATTTCGTCTGTCGCGGTTACACCGCCATTTCCTCTATCATAGTTAAGATGATATTATGAAATTCATATTACTATTCGGGCAACACGATGTCCGTAGAGTAGATTATCGAATTTCTTAACCTTGTCTGGAAAATACTATGTCCGGTAAGGTTATATGGTAGTGTCCGAACATTACCTTGTCTGATGCTAATTTCCTATCCGGACAACTCCTTGATTAGAGAGGTTTGTCTGGAGGTCGCCTTGTCCGATGAAGATATGCATCCGATGACTGTTTTGGCCGGAGACATGCATCCGGATACTTGCTTGAACGATATGGGGTCTCATCCGGACATTGCTTTGTCTGATGAGGGGCCTCATACGGACGTTGCTTTGTCCGGTGAAGGGCTTCATCCGGACCAAGCTTTGTCTAGTGAATGTTCTGTTCTTATGGTTTATACAGGATGTAGAACACAACAATAATACTTTTTAAATTACTATAAAACGCATATACTAGGATTTTTATCCAATAATACAAGGATATCAAATCATATAGATATCCAACGCAATATATAACTCACCTTTGCTTTTGAATTAATTTTGAGAATCTGCTTTTGTACTTGGATCACCCAGCTTTTTGAAAGAGAATTAAAAATGTAACAAAATCAGTAACCCTTGTCCATACAAATGCACTTACATAAATATTGAGAAGCAACTCTAGATCGATACCCTTTCCAACTCTTGAATGCGAAACACTAACCCCAAACTTTCATTATCAAATTATCAGTACCTAATCAACTGGAAACTGGAATCGAAAATTACAATATCCCCTCCTTAGAATAATTTCGTCCCAAAATTTCACTACGTAAACTGATAAGGATATTTCATTCGCAAATCTGACTTTGATTCCCAGGTGGCATCCGGCCCTTTATGATAACGCCACTAAACTTTTACTAACCTGATTTCTTTATTCCACAGCTTCTTTATTTTGAAGTCAGTAATGGCTTCTGGGGTATCTTCAAAACATAATTTCTCATCAATCTTAATTTCTGGTAGAGGCACAACTATATCTGGATTTGCTAAACACTCTCAAATTCGATACATGAAAAGTGTTATGAATGCCACTTAATTCCAACGGAAGTTCTAGCTTATAAGCAACCTCCTCAATTCTTTCAATGATATAAAAGGATCCAATATATCTTGGGCTTAACTTTCCTTTATTTCCAAAGCGTACTACCCATTTCCATGGTGACACTTTTAACATTACTCTAACTCCAATTTGGAATTCAATCGGCTTCCTGTGTTTATCTGCATAACTTTTTTGCCGATCTTGAGCCACTTTCATTCGTTCCCGAATTTGGAAAAATTTTGTCCCCAGTTTTTTGTACTAACTCAAGTCCAGCTAACTGTTTTTCACCTATCTCATTCCAATACAAAGGAGTTCGACATTTTCGTCCATACAGAACCTCAACAGGTGCAGCTTGAATACTCGAATGATAATTGTTATTGTAAGCGAATTTCCACCAAAGCCAAATGATTATCCCACGATCCCCCCAAATCAATAACATAAGCTCTAAGCATATCTTCTAGTGTTTGGATAGTTCGTTCACTTTGTCCATCTGTTTGAGGATGATAAGTTGTACTTAACTTAATTTGTGAACCCATTTCTCTTTTGAAACTTTTCCAGAACATAGAAGTTAATCGACTGTCTCGATCAGAAATTATTGATAATGGGACACCATGATGTGTCACTACCTCATCAATATACAATTTCGCCAATCTATCTATTGAATACGATTCTTTCATTGGTAAGAAATGAGCATACTTGGATAACTGATCTACAATAACCCATATAGCATCATAACCTCTCGGTGTTCTCGGTAATTTGGTTATGAAATCCATAATAATGTGATCCCGTTTCCAGATTGGAATTTCTAAGGACTGCAACTTACCATACGGACGTTGGTGTTCTATCTTCACTTGTAGACTTGTCATACACTGGTCAACATGTTCGGCTATATCTTTCTTCATGCCTGGTCACCAATAGTACTATTTCAAATCCCGATACATTTTTTTTTAACACGGGTGGATAGCAAAACGTGATTTGTGAGCTTCACTTAAAATACGTTCTCTGAGATTACCATAACACGGTACCCAAGTTCTATTTTGAAAATTCCATAATCCCCAACCATTCTTTTCAAATTCAGATACCATTCCACCAAGTATTTCCTATTTAATTTTATCCCCTTTCATGGATTCACATTGAAATTCTTGCAACTCTTCTTGAAGACTTGATAGTAATTTGACTCTTAAAGCTATAGCTTTTATGGTACCACTTTTCTCTTGACGGCTTAAAGCATCAGCTACTACGTTTGCTTTTCCCGGATGGTACAATATTTCACAATCATAATCACTAACCAATTCTAACCATCGTCTTTGGCGCATGTTCAAATCTTTCTGATGGAATAAATGTTGTAGACTCTTATGATCTGTGAAAATATGACATTTTGTTCCATATAAGTAATGCCTCCAAATTTTTAAATTGAACACTGATGCTGCCAACTCCATATCATGAGTAGGATACTACTTTTCATAATCCTTTAACTACCTTGAGGCATAAGCAATTACCTTCCCACGTAGCATCAATATGCAACCCAAACCCCTCTTCGAGGCATCACTATAAACCACAAAATCTTTTACTCCATCAGGCAAGGATAGAATTGGTCAACTGCATAATTTACATTTGAAAAGCCTGAGCTTGATCCTCTTCTAATTCATACTTTACGTTCTTCTTTGTCAACTTGGTTAATGGAGTAGCTATGCTAAATAAGTCTTGTATAAACTTACGATAATACCCTACCAACCCAAGAAAACTTCTGATTTCGGTTGGGGTCTTCGGCGCTTTCCATTTTTCAATAGTTTCAATTTTAAGAGGGTCTACCTTGATGCCCATTTTCTAAATAACATGACCCAGAAACTGAACCTCTCGCAACCATAACTCACACTTTGACATTTTAGCATATAATTTTTCTTGTTTCAATAATTCCAAAAGTAGACGTAAATGGTGAGTATGCTCTTCTTCCTATCGAGAGTAAATCAAAATACCATCAATGAAGACAATTAAAAATTTATCAAGATATGGGCGACACACTGTATTCATCATATCCATGAATGTTGCAGGTGCATTTATAAATGGCATAACCAAGAATTCATAATGTCCATAACGTGTACGACATGCCCTTTTTGACACATCTTCATCACGAATCTTCAATTGATAATAACCGTATCGTAAATCAATCTTTGAAAAATAAGTATCCTCAACCAATTGATCAAACAAATCATCAATTCTTGGAAGATGATACTTATTTTTTATGGTTAATTTATTCAATTCCCGGTAGTCTATGCACATTCTCATTGACCCATCCTCCTTCTTCACAAATAATACTGGCGCGCCCCATGGAGAGGAATGGTCGAAAAAAACCTTTATCTAAAAGTTCTTTCAGCTACGACATCAATTCCTTTAATTCAGACGGAGCTAGCCTGTACGGTGTACGTGCAACTGGCGCTGCCCCAGGCAATAACTCAATCTGAAACTCAATCGATCGATCAGGAGGTAAACTTGTTAAGTGTGCTGGAAATACTTCCGAAAATTCCCTTACAACAGGAATATTCTCCATCTTTTTCTTTTCTTTCTTCATATCAATTGCATAGGCAAGAAAACTGACACATCCTTTCTGTACGTACTTCCGAGCCTTTAAAACAGAGATATGGCAGGAATAACCATCCCGCCTGTCACCATAGATTATAACCGGTCCCTTCCTCGGTAAATCTATATGAATCATCTTTTCATTGCAGACTATATTAGCTTGATTTATAGCTAACTAGTCCATGCCTACGATTATATCAAACTCTCTTAAGGGTATGGGAAATAGTTGTATAGGTACCTCACACCCTTCTATATTTATGGAACAATTATCAATCATTTCCTTAACTAATACTTCACTATCGTATGTTATTTCTACTATCAATACCTCATCTTATGCTTTAGATGCTAAGTGCGCACAACTAACAAAAGATGGTGATACGAAAGAACGATTTGCACCAGAATCAAATAAAACTTTGGCACATCCTGAATTAACAAAGAATGTATCTGTAACCACTTCAGGATGTTCTTCTAACTCGCCCCTCGTCATTTGAAAGGTTCGTCATCTAGCCATTGTCTCACCATGTCTTATTTCCCCATGACCACTTGGAGCATTACGATTAACTGTTGGCATGCGACTAGGTGGAACATAACCAGATCCTCGGCCCCCAAAATACCCAGATCCTCGGCCCCCAACAAAACCAGATCCTCATCCCTTAGCTTGCGGACAATCAACATTTACATGCTTAGAGGAATTACACGTAAAACATCTTCGTACCATTTGACAATCTCAAGCTATATGCCCTGAATCCTGACATTTATAACATGTTCGTAACTCTGTAATGCAGTTTCCTGGTGTATTTTATGACATCGTGCACGTGCTTAATCAACAAACCTTGAGATTGATCAATTCAGATTTTCAGTAAACCTTGGTCTACGAAAATCAGTGGCAACAGTTTCCACTTTCCTTTTATCCCCAACCCTTTCTTGTGGTTGGCGATTAATATCCTGTTCCAGGATTTCTGCTGCATCAACCGCGACCTGGAATGTAGTTGGGTGTCTGTATATCATATATTTTCGGAGATTAGACACCAGACCCCAAATATATTTCCTAACTTTGTTGCTTTTAGTTGCAAAATATGCTTCGGCAAACCGAAATTGTTCCATAAAAATCTCTGTATACTGACGAACCGACATATTTCCCTGTTCCAAACGAAGAAAATCGTCCTCTAGCTTTCGAGCAACAGGTTCAGGACAATATTGAATTATATATTTTTCCACAAATTCCTCCCATAGCATGGTTTTCATAATATTTGGATCCGAACTTGACAGAATTTCCCACCAATATAGTGCATTTGACCACAACCTAGATATGGCAAACATTACTTTATCCTCTTCTGCACTTTTACTGGTCTGCAGACTTAATTCAATTTCTTTAAGCCAACATATGGCTTTAGCAGGGTCACGTTCTCCAAAAAAGTTAGGGGGTTTACAAGCAAGAAACATCTTAATATCTTCTCTTTTTTGTACAGACGATGAAGTAGGGGGTACAAACGTATTTGTTACCGGTGTACTAGCTCCGGCTTCTTTCTGATAACTTGCATCTCTTACTCCTTATGGGTTATGCTGTGCAAAACGTCCTAGCAAATTCACCAAACTTTCCTAAAATTTTCTGACTTCAGCTGCCAATATTTCCTATGTAATGTAACCAGGGTCATGAGCACGACCTCTACCCCTTGGTGTGCCTCTTCCATGGCCTAACATAGAACTTTCTTGTGCTGATAATTCCTATTCCATATGAGTTTCATGTTGAATATTTCTTCCCATTCCTCGTCCCCGACTTCGACTTCAAGTTTCAATAGTCATAGCATTCTCTGGATCCTCTTCTTTGTTTATCATTTCTCTTCCCCGACCTCTTCCATGGCCAATAGATGTCCTTCCAGATCGATTAAGATTATCTACCATCTTTTCTTAGTAATTGGTATTACTTTAACGTCCTTTCGGTCATAATAAACACATATATGGTTATTTACATACCAAAGAATGATAACATGTTTACCCATGGGTCCAATATTTGTAAATCACAATTACATCAATTACATGTAATCTAACTTTATCATACTTATCCCCATAATAGTTTGAATTATAACACATTTCCATGTTCATAGTCCCAGTGAAACCGATTATAACATATTTCACACCTCTAGTTTAAGTCTAAGTATCAAGAAAATACCCAAATCCCTTAAACTAAGGCTCTGATACCAACTGAAAAAACCCGCTATGCTAATAACGATATAAGTTCACATGAATTACTCATACATCATCATAATAGTCATAATATATTCCAAAAGTAGTGTTTACATGACAATAGAAAGTATGGATTAACAAAAACTTTTAGTTACAACACTTTTATCTCAATAACACTTCTTTACATTTTTCATTTGCCTTTATCTTGAGATGATGAATGACCTGCAAAACAGATTAATCCAATAATTGAGCATTAGACCAAAAGGTCTAGTGAGTGTATTTTTTCATCTACATAACATAACTTATTTCAAAATCTAAGACATATCAAACCTGGATCATAATATATCATCCCAACATTCATCTATCGCGGTTACACCGTTATTTCCTCTCTCGCGGTTAAGATGATATTATGAAATTCATATTACTGTCCAGGCAACACGATGTCCGGAGAGTAGATTCCCGGATTTCTTAACCTTGTCCATACAAAACTATGTTCGGTAAGGTTATATGGTAGTGTCCAGACATTACCTTGTTCGATGCTAATTTTCTAACTTGACAACTCCTTGATGGGAGAGGTTTGTCCGGATGTCGTGTTGTCCTATGAAGGTATGCATCTATTGGTTGTTTTGGCCGGAGACACGTATCCGGATACTTGCTTTACCAGTATGGGGTCTCATCCGGACATTGCTTTGTCCGATGAGGGGCCTCTTTCGGACGTTGCTTTGTCCGGTGAAGGGCTTCATCCGGACCAAGCGTTGTCCGGTGAATGTTCTGTTCTTTTGGTTTATACAGGAAGTAGAACACAACAATAACACTTTTTAAATTAATCTAAAACACATATGCTAGCATTTTTATCCAATAATACAATGATATTAGATCATATAGATATCCAATGCAATATATAACTCACCTTTGGTTTTGAATTAATTTTGAGAATCTGCTTTTGTACTTGGATCACACAGCTTTTTGAAAGAGAATTGAAAATGTAACAAAATCAGTAACCCTTCTCCACGCAAATGCACTTGCTATTTATAGCAAGTGCATAACCAATTTCCTTATTTAAAATAGTCCACCTCCACAAACATACACACACACACACACACATATATATATATATATATATATATATATACTTATGTGTGTATATATATACATATACCTTACTCAAACATAAATATTGAGAAGCAACTCTAGATCGATACCCTTCCCAACTCTTGAATGCCACTGAACTTTCATCATCAAATTATCAGTACCTGCTCAAATGGAAACTGGAACCAAATATTACAATTGTTTTTTAATTCAGAGCCATGATCACTCTTTATAGAGCGCACTTGATGTTGTTCAGTAATTTTATGCGTTTTATGAACGAGATGATTTCATCAAATGCATCACTCTTGGATGTGAGAAAGAAAACACAAGTGTACCTGGAAAACTCATCAACAATAATGAGTGTGTGTTTCTTTCCAGCTATGGATTGTACAATGAGAGGGCCAAATAAATCTATATGCAGTAGATGAAGCTGAGAGGTCATTGAAGAGACTTGTTTTGATTTAAAACTAGCCTTTGTATGCTTTCCTTTTTCACACGCTGAGCAAAAAAATTCTTTTGCAAAAGAGTGTTGAGGAAGGTCTGTGACGAGTTCTTTTCCAGACAACTCGTTCAGTATCTTGAAGTTGAGATAAGAAAGTTGTTTGTGCCACAACTAGTTGACATCTAAAGAGGCTTTAGAGAGAAAACAACTATTCTCAATGAAGGGAGAATCCACGTTGATGACATAAATATTCTCTTGACGAGAGCCTGTTCGAGTAAGATTGTCATCTTTGTCGAACACATAACATTTATTCTTCAGAAATTTCACGGTGAAATGTTTATCACACATGTGACTGATGCTGAGAAGATTGTGCTTCAGTCCTTCAACATATGCAACATGTCTGAAGGTGGTTGCACTGTTGGTTAATATACCAAAGCATTTGGTATATCCTTTTCCATTTCCTCCAAAGGTCACGGAATGGCCTCTTTCATATTTATAGTCTGAAAGCAGTGCTTTATCACCAGTTATATGTCTTGAGCGTCCATTATCTAGATACCAGATGCTTTTGACTTCCTGCAATATAAAAGATATTAAGTTTGCTTTGGTACCGATTTTTCAATGGGTCCAGCAGAGTTAGAGGCCTCATCTTTCTTCACTGACACTGAAAGCTCAAAGTCAGCAAGAGTCTTCACTGAACATGAAAAAAGAGGAGTCACTGGTATTCTTCACTTTAGTTGTTTTCATAATTTGTGTGGATGATTTCATTTTGGATGACTTTTCAACCTTAGTTAATTTCTTAACCTTAGCTGGCGAACCAGATTTGGTAGTTGAAGGACACTTGCTGGCTATATGAGTAGTCTCACCATAGTGACGACACTTTTTATGGCTAAAGATAGCTTTTGGTCCAGAAAAGTCAAGGCTTAGGAGCCTTAAAAGAGAGGGACCAGCTCCAAGAATTCCTTTTTAGTTGTTAGAGGACGAACAACTGAGGATTTAGATATCTTGGGTAAAATATTCACTTTCAGCTTTGGGCTTGATCTCTGAGAGCGTTCAGAGATCTTTGTCCCTGAGGAAGAAGGTTTACAAGCTGAAGAAATATAACAAGTTTTATTCAACTTGTGGTGCTTCTTAAAAAGAGGAAGAATGTTGTTAATGGTTTTACCTTTGTCTTTGCATTTTGAACTAAGAGAAGTTCCTTCAAGAAGAGTTTCGATAGAGCGGTACTGAGAGGAAGAAGTGTCAAGAATAGAAGAGACAAAAGTTCCAAACATCAGCATGGACTTGTCACTGACATGATCTTCCTGATAATAGGAATATCGTAGACTACTCTTGATCTTGGCGGGAATCTGAGTGTTAATGATCTCAGTGGCCTTGAGAGAGGCTTTACACTATCCTTCATTGGTGGCATTTTTAGCCTTGAGTTCATCCAAATTCCGAAAAGGGCATTAAATTTCTCTTGCTCATGTCTCTTAACCTGTGTTTTCTTTCTTGTATACGCCTGTAGGTTCTTATCATTATCAAAGCTTTGAAAGCTTTAGTCGATGACCATCATGGGATCAGATTTCGAGAAACCAACCAAACCCTATCAAAAACCATCTCTACTGTTGTTGCCAACTCCGACAATAATCTCTCTCTCCAAATTACAACTTTTAAGTTGTCTGAATCGAACTACCTTCAATGGTCTCGATCTGTCCAACTTGTTATTCATGAGAAGGGTAAGTACGGCTACATCAATGGCTCCATTAAAAAATCCTTACCCACCGATTCTTCCTATGCCAAATAGGATATAAAGAATTCCATGGTTATGGCATGCTCGTCAATTTGGCAAGATAGCATTGTAGAAATCTACCTCCTTTATCCCACGAAAAAATATCTCTAGGATGTCATCGCCCGCTCCTACTTAGATCTCGAAGAATTTCACAGATGTTTGAGCTTCGAACAAGGCTCGAAACCTGCAACAAGATACAGGTAATAAGGTTAAGAAGTCTTCTGCTTGGGAAGAAGCGTTTCTCTTAGGTAGAGAATTGATCTTCAAGAAGTAAGAATTCTTGGCAACAACTTGCTTCTTCTAGTTGGAGTGAGATGCTGAGAAGGAAGAGCTTCTCAGCTATTTATATCTGTGGCATCAAAAGCAAGTCAGATGGTACAAAGCAGGTGGCAAGCTCCTAGATGTGAGCATGTTCTTTATTACAAATATACAGACTTTTGTCGTATATAAACAATAGTCTTTCACAAAGTAGGTAAGCACGCTTGGAGAAAATAGAGTGACTCCGTACAATACTTTACTTTGAGAGGTATGGGTTTGTCCTTTGTGTGTAGAAAGACAAGACAAAACTAATCTTATTCAACAAGATTCATTTGATCGCTGGAATAACAATGAGGTTTCTTCAGTGTCCGCTGAATCTTGAGTAGATTTTACACTTGTGTAAACAGGCTTGTTATCACTAAAAACTGAATTAGATCATGAACTTGTTTGTCTCTGTCTTTAGCTTTATCTTCGATATCACTGAAGGTTTTGTGGTGTGAATTTCGTCTTTGTGAAGAATACTTGTCATTGAGATAATTACAATACATGTTCAGCGATCACTGAATAGACTAAGTGATGATCGCTGAAGCTGAATAAAAAAATAGTACAGTTCGTAAGATAAAAAGATCATTAAATTGCTGAGAGAGAGGATCAACACAGATCGATGGCAGTCCAAAGTGGTTCAAATGGAGGTGGTCAGCG